TCTTATTCAACATGTTGGGGCAGATTGCATAATGTTGTGTGTGCTGACGTGCTTGGAAGAAGCTAGGTATGTTTAAAATCTGGACTGAATGCAGAAACAGGTGAACAAAACCCCAAACAAGCAAGCAGATCACTTAATGGCATCAATTAGTGTCAGTGATTAAGGTCTCCCTTGAAACACAAAGCAGGCTCTAGAGGTGGGGTTGGGGACCATACTTACTGGGGGAGTCCTGATCGGAACAAACAGCTATTGCTAGCTAGACATGAGGGACAAACCATCCCCCTGATGAGGGCTTGTCGTGTTCCAGCGAGCCGTTCTGAGCCGAGCTAGAGCCACTCTGCGCACTGCTCTGCGCCGCTACACCAAGCGGCTCAAAGGAGAGTCAAGATGTTGCTCTCTGGGCTTGAGTCTTTATAGACAAGAACTGAAGGAACCGAAATGGCTATAAATAACAGAGCCACTTCTCTACCATGCTTTCTGTTACTTCCAGCTTCGGCATGACTGTTCATTCCTCCTGTTGCCATTCCAGACACGGATGCGCTTCCCTGTGTTTTTACGCGGCATTTAATTCCAGACTTCAGCTTCCAGCGCTGAACAGAACCAAGGACAGTATGTGCATTATATTCAAATCCACAAGCAAATTCAAGTGTTTCGGGCCTTTGCCTTTCATCTCCAGTGAACAAACTCTTGTGTGAGCTGAACTCCTGTCTGGGGTGGGCAGTAACAGTGTCCCATCTGAACTCACAACTCAAGACCAGAGCCCTGAGGGAGTGAGTGTGCGTGTGTACATGATATGATGTTTATGATAGTGTGTGAGACTGTGTGATTATTAGTATGTGTGAGTGAGAGAGCGTGTGTATGTTTAGTGTGTGTATGTTAGTGTGATAGTGAGTGTGGAAGTGTTAAAGTGTGTGTATATTTGTGGAAGTGTGTGTGACTGTGAGTGTGTACGTGGGGGGGGGGTGGCTCTGGAGGGCAATACTCGCCCAGCCAACAGCCCACCCACATGACACCGCCCCCCGCATACACCCCAACCCCCCCGCAGCCTCCCTCACCGAGCACCGCGCAGCCGCAGCCTGCTGTGCAGCGAGTCTGGCCGCGAGCCAAGCGGAGCTGGAACAGAATGTGCTCGTGAAGCACAGTGACAGTACAGGTGGACGCGAGACAGGGGCGGGGCCACTGGCGCTCGTGTAATTTCTATATACAGTACAATGGATATTTATCATGGATACTAAAACACAGATAACTGTAGTACGAATCAGTTTCCTTTAGCTGAAGAACTTTGCAAAATGTTCTGTTCATACTGCTGCCCTGTAAATCGTTTTCACGTTTCGCCCGTCTCGCTGTTCTTCCTCTCTGGGAGAGAGAAACCGCAGTAGAAGGGTCTTGTTTGTTCACCGGCAGAGGATCGCCTCTGTGCCTGCTGTCGGGCTGCAGTTTCTTCCAAAGTCTGCCGGTGTCCCGCCTCTGTCGGCCGCTGCGAGCGGCTTGTCTGGGGGTCCGGGGTGCGCGTTCAGGGAGGTTTTAGAAAACCTTCCCTGGGTGATCTCGGACAATCTGCTCCTTGTTGACAGTAGGCAATGGGGTGTCAAAATGTTTTACTTGTCTGTTAAATTTACCACGGAAAACATTCTGACAGTTTTGTCTTACCTCGGGGACAGTCACACTCGGTTTGTGACACACTCTTAGTGACATTCCGATGGTCTCGGTATTTGACCTGAGGTTGTGATGCCGATCCGATACCCTGAATGTTTGTCACCACTGGCTGTTTCAGAAAGTCCAGCTGAGCCAATTACAAAAATTCAAAATAATAAGGAATACAAAATTCATTTACACTTCTCCCAAAGTTTTACCATGATCGTGCAGTGTGCACTGTTTTACGATAATCGTGCCATGTGTACTGTTTCACCATTATCGTGCCATGTGCGTGCTGTTTCACCATGATTGTGCTGTGTGTGTACTGTTTTACCATGATTGTGCTGTGTGTACTGTGTTTCACTGTAATCGTGCTGTGTTTCACCATGACTGTGCTGTTTCACCATGATCGTTTCGTGTGTACTGTGTTTCACCATGATTGTGCTGTGAGTGCTCTGTCTGTAAAGAGGAGTTGTACGGCATGTTGTTCAGTACTGTACAAAGTATGCAGAGCACCTTTGAAATCTCACTGGTCTCTTGGCACTAAATTTGTGAACTGTCTTGGAGGGCATGGGGAGAAAAACACCTCTGTGATTGATTAAAATAAATGACTGTGGACACAGACTCAACACATCACCATCACTTTCCCGAGTGAGATCACCGTGGGCAGATGATATTTGACATAAGTTACATTGTGTTCCGTGCATTTACTAACTGCAACCAGAAATAGCTCAGGAGCTTTCATCACAGCTGCGCAGTACATGCTCTGTCTCTTTCTATGTTATATACAAATGAGCAAGCTCTCCCCCGACCCTGCCTGCTGCATGGTCTGGGTGATACACATTCCTAGTCTAAAAACACAGACAGGTTCTGTCTCTGAGGACCCCAGGCTCGTACCCCCAGCAATTATTCCCATGCGCTCTGATCTGTTTGGAGACCAGGCCCAGACCAGGGAGGTCCCAGTGGTGCACTGACCCTGCATCAGCACTGCAGTGACACACAGTGTTTCCACTCAGATGCAACCACAAAGCTGGGACCCACAGCCCCGCTGATCAGAAACAGTCGATCCTTACCTGTGCCCACAGCGGTCACATGGCAGAGAAGGCATTGCCTGCAAGTGTATTGGCCTGAGTGAACACTCAGAAATTCAAATCCATGTTGCACAAACACCCAGAAGCCACTTCTTCATTTATTCCACTGCTTGACCAGATCCCCAGCCTCCCTCCCAGGTGTGGGACGAGTGTGCAGACCATGCATTGTAGCTTCCTTAGTGACGGGCTGCTAGACGACTACTTGTGTGAGAAGTGATGAAATCGGCCCTGAGAGTGTCTGAGAGCCACACACGCCAGCGCTCATGTCCTTCAAGCAGGGACCAAAGCATGCCTGCATGCAATTGCAGCCCTGGTGTGCCTTCAGACTGGAACAGACAATTACAGGTTGTCTGCTGGCGCCGAGTGAGACGCAGGGTCCTGCTGCAGACAGTTATTTCAGCTGTGGAGAAGGTCACTGGAACTGCTTAATTGTTCTCACAACTCTTTCATATGCATGCGCAATCGAGGTTTAAAAACAAAACAATTACGGAGTCTGTTTTTACCGTATCACTTTTGCATTCACAGACAGAGAGGAAGGAAGTGCTCATTACTAATTTCTTCTGACAAATGCAAGCAGCCAGTCTTGCTGTCTGCGGAGTTTTGTTAGTGTGACAGTCTCAGTGCTACAGCTGTGAAATCCAGTTGCAGCACAGCCTGTGTCCTGCTTCGAGGAGCCAGGCACTGTGGCCTGTCTTTCCCCTCTCCCCCTTCTGTCTCTCTGCAGATAGCGGGGCGCCGCCTGTGTGTTTGAGAGCAAGAAGGACAAAACGTGAGAGAGGAGTTCAGTCCAGGACACCGCAGTGAGGAAGTAAAGTAGTACAACATGTCCTGTACTAATCTGATAAAAAAAAGCAGCCGCGTAGTAGCTATTTGTCTGTGGGAAGTGTGCTGAGAGTTTTCATTCAAAGGCTAAAAATAGTGCCTGGAACAGTGGAAAATACAGTGCGCTAACTCACAGACCGCAGTCCGAACGGGCTCGGCCAGTGCGTGGATGCAAAACCGATACATTCATTTAGATGCCTGCAAAAAATGGAAAGTTAAAGAAGTATATGAACACACACCGTCTCGCACACAGACACACACACTCTCATACACATTCTCACACAGACACACACACTCTCAAACACACATCCTCTGGCAGAAACACACGCATTCTCACACAAACACACATATTCTCACAGAGACACAACACACAAACACACACATTCTCACACTGACACACACTCTCACACAAACAGACATTGTCACACAGACACACACACTCTCACCCAAACACACACTCTCACCCAAACATGCACTATCACACACATTGTCACACAAACACACACACACTAACACAGACACACACACCATTCTGCACATGGAAAAAATGAACATGTTTTTTCCATAAACACCAGATTCCAGCATTATTATTCCTGGCTTCTATAATCCTCCGCAATCCTCTGTGTGACCCTTAGGAAACATGTCATGGTACCAGCGTTCTGAAAGCAGGGGAATATCAGCAGGAGTGCCACGCAGACTGACTGGACTGAATGCTTGTAAGGGCACCTCCATCAGAACACAACGCGGCCTTCACATGAAGTACCGTAAAAGACACACAGGCGCTTTTTTCTGTAAAAGCCGACAGGTTCCAGGTCTTCACCAAACTGGCGCGACCTAGCGCCAGTGTGAGGCTGAGGCACAGGAAGGCAGAGGGCAGCAGAAGGCGAGACAAGGAGGCAAAGACAGGGCACCACTCTCAAACTGCGGGCGGATGCCAGACTTACGCCATCACACGCCGGCACTGGGGCCACAGCACAGTCCAGCTCAGCCCCCAGGAACAGGGCACAACACCTGCTTTATTCACTGGGTCTGCTGGGGTGCTGGGCTTCGGGGCACAACAAGAGGAGGCAGCAAGGGGTTCCCATCGCTCTGTCACTTCATACCGCTCCCCCAAGATAAGGCAACGAGAGAACCCAGACACACAGAAAGCTGCTTCAGCATCCAATCTGTTTCATTTCCTTCCACTGGGCTTTATCTTCTGACACTTTCTGAGTAACCCGTTCGGACTCGGCGCCTTGGCATTTTGTTCGGGGGAGGTTGTTCCGGGAGGTTGCCGGAACCAGGGGCCAAAAAGTTCTTAAAGGCCGGGTCCAATTGCACCGGAAGTAACCACCAGATTTTATTTTTTATCACGTTACCCGACAGTACATACAGTATGAATCTTCTCCTGTACAGAATGTCTATTTGCTCGCTCGTGTGTTTCACGCAGAACGCCTCGTCTGCAGGCAGGGTGAGGGGAGGAAATGGGCACATGGAGCTGTCAGAAAGGTGCCTTGAACTTCACCAAAGCGGAAGATTTAATCGGCTTATCAAACCCAATACAGCTCTACAATAATCCAGTTGTGATTCAAAAGCATCCTATTCATACAGCGAAGTGTAAATGTGTCAAGCAGGAGTATGTAGGGCCTTTGGAAAAGGAAGCTGTGCGGAAATCTCAGAGAGTGTTGCTGTCAGCAGTGCTTGCTCTTCTCCCTGCGAGCTCCTGGGGCCCCGGGGCTCTCTCCGAGCTCCTGCAGCTCTCCCGCGAGAAAGCCTCTGGCACAGGCAGTCTTCTCCCACAGCCGCCGTCTACTCCGCCGGTTCGTCTGAAAAAGCTGAAGCGGCCGTGCTTGCGACAGGGGACAGCGGACAGGGGCACACGGACGATCGTGAGCTGAGAGAAGGCGGCCAGTCCACAGATCACCCTGGGGTGATCAGAGGCCAAGCGAGTGAGACCCTAGAGAGAAGGGGGGGGGGGGGCTTTGCTCTCCAGGTCTTTCTTGGGGGTCTGAGCGAGAGAATCGGGTGACTAGGACGTCAGCCCCTCTTCTGTGCACAGAGGGCCTCTCTGACATCAGTGCCCGGCAGGCCGCAGTGCAGCACTGGCGGTGTCGCAGTCTGTCTTGTGGCTCGTGCTATACCTGCCTCTGCTTTCATCTCGCTCCAGCACTAAGAAACGTGTGTCAGGGATACGTCACAACACCGACATTTTCTTTTGCGCTTACCGCTGCACAAGAGAGAGGTCAGAAATCTAAACTAGACCAAATTTATTACCACTGGATGCATGCTGTAAATACAAATATACAAAGGTCTCGGTACAGATCAATGAAACTGGCAGCTGCTTGGCCCTGTGGGTCTAGTTCTCTCCGTCTCCGTGGTCCGTGCTGTCCTGCAGGCTGGTGAGGTGGGGCTTGTACAGGGCGCTCCACAGGGCCTGGAGGGAGCCCCTGCCCAGGAGGGACAGGAGCAGTCGCAGGGCCTCCCCCCGGCAGGTGGTGGGTCCGTGCGCCCCCTCTTCAGCAGGGGGGTCCCGCGCCGGGCTGGGGTCGCTGGGGTCGCTGAGGTCGCGGGTGCTGGCAGTGTGCAGACCCCCCATGGCGCTGGACAGCCAGATGAGTCTCTTCAGGCTCTGCATGGCCCGACCCTTGTCGTGCATGTACTGGTGCTCAGTCACAGCCCGCCTGCTAAAGACACACCGATCACTGTCCCACCTGCTAAAGACACACTGATCACTGTCCCACCTGCTAAAGACACACTGATCACT